AATAAACGAAAACCGAAAGGCGTAATTTAAAAAAATTTAAAAAGTAAATAAACAAAATCATTTTCGTTAAATATTATACTATTAATAGAAAAGCCTACTATTATACTACTTTTATTATTAACCGCGGAAATACCGTATTATAATTATAATTTACTTAAAAATATTATAAAATAACCCCGGCGGGTTACTAAAAACAAAATAAAACCTTTTCGACTTTAAATAAATTATTCTACTAGCCGGGTATAAATAAAATAATTAGGGCCTACTATAAAATATATTTCTAATAACCTAAAACAAAATCGTCCCGGTAGTTACTAGTAGACCTATTAAAACCTTTCTCTATTTCTTTCATACCTTAGAAGAATATCGCCGTCGATTATATTATTCCTATAACGCTTTATATACGGCGGGGCTAAGGATGTAACTATATTATTATCGTTATAAACCATTTAACGAAAATATACTATTACATCCCTATTAAAACCCTAATAACCGAAGAATTAATTGAACGGTTTATTAAAAAGGTCTACGCTCTCTACAATCTACTTAAAACCATCGTATCCAACCGAAGCTCCTAATTCGTCTTACAACTTTAAAAAGCTTTATCCGCGAAGCTAAGCATTACTTTAAAGCTATCCTCCGCTTTCTATAAGGAAACTAACGGTTAAAACGAATTTATTAATACCGAAGTAGAATATTATTTAAAAATATATATTAATTAAACTTAAAATAATTAAATCGATTAATTACTATTAATTAAATTCGTAAATAATAACGCGCAATCTAATATAACGGGAATCTCCCTTTTCTTCGCCAATTATAATTTCTACCCCCGTATAAATATCGAGCCTACTTAACCTTATCCCCTTAACTTTTTAAAATTATAGCGTACTAAATATTTTAAAACTAATGAAATCGCGGACTATTTTAGAAAGATCTTAAATAAGTTTATTATTATAGCGAAGAGAAATTAGGTTAAATATAAAGAAACTGTAAACGAGAGGAAATCTAATTCGCCCAAATATTATATCGGAAATAAAATCCTCCTAAATTCAATTAACCTCGTCTTTAGGCACCCTTAAATAAAATTAGCGCCCTTATAGGGAGCATTATTCGAAATTAGAATGACTAATAATCACTATATTATATTAAAACTTCCTTTTAATATAAAATATAATTATATTCTTTATATTAATATAATAAAGCTTTAAATTATCGAAAGTATCCCCGGCTAAAATAATATATAAAATATCCGTAATAATTAAAGGAAGGTAATGAAGCAAATTAATAATACCGAAGACGTAATCGAATAATTTTACAAAATTATTAATAAATACTGTTTTAATACCGAAAATAGCCGCTAAGAATATTACATCGTTTAGAGCAAACCTTACGCTCTAAATTAGTAGCGTATAAAAGACGTAGAGTATTATATCGATAATTTCCGCAAGTTCTATATTAATAACCTAAACGCCCCAGTCCTACCGAAATAAATTACGGAGGAAAAGCGTAGGCAATGGGTAGCTAAAGTACTAATAAAAGTAATTAAGAAGCCCGGGCCACTCGAAATAAATACGGCGCCGGCTATAAAACGGTTATTCCGGTACTAAACGGGCGAAGTACTAGTATTAATAGCGTTAGAAAAGGTTATAAATATCGTATTAGAAGGTTTCAAATCCTTAAAGGGGGACGGTTTATAATTTTAATATATTTTTAAACCCCGAGGGGATTTTGAGTCCGGGGAAGTATTAAAGGGCTAACCTATAATTATTATTTAGTTACGGTATTATTGCGGCAATAGTTGCCGGGTTAATATACGCTCTCTAATTAATTATACTATTATAACTAATGCCTTGCCGCCTCGGTACCGAGGCGGAAAGTAAGTTAATCACGTATACGTACTATAGGCTTACCGCTGGGTTTATCCCTTACGAGCCACTCACACATTCTATAGCTTCCTTTCTTCCTTGTGTAAATACACAAGTCTTAGTCTACCCCCAACGCTCAGTATCGCCTTGCCCCGTGACAGGATAGTCGGTTAAAGGAATTAGTTAGTACTTTCGTTATTTACGGTCTTTATAGTAAGGATAATCCGAAATTTCTATATATGGTTATAAACGATAAGGATAAGAAAGTTGGGCCGAAGTATGGCATTTCATCTATGTGCACCATGCCTCTCTTATTTGTGCACCAAACCTTATATATACACCAATGGGGTTAGCTAAGGTTTAACGTGCATATTTTTTTTTCCAACCTTTAATACAGCCAGACAGTAAGCGTACAATACCCTTTCAGTGTAAGTCAGTGCCAAGCCCAGTAACCCAGTAGATCCCATTGTGCACGACCCCTATCTTTAGACTTAGTGATTTTGAGCCGCTTCTTGAATGCCTTTCAACCTTATCCTTCTTTCTACTCCCTCTTTACGACCAGGCCACCTCTGATCACCAGAACAGGCTAGAATCGACCGCACGTACGTGAATATTAATCGCATCAATCACCAGAACCGTTTGCTAACTTTCCTGAAGCCTCAAAACGCTGCGCGCATTGCGCACAAGACTCTCAGCTAGCCAAGATGCCGCCGTGGGATCCATCGACCTCACCCACATTGAGGACACTGACAGCGACGCCGTCAGCGACGACGACAACAACAACGGGGTTGCACGAAGTGGCCGTATAAGTTGGCCCAGTGAAGAAGTTATGGAGGCGAGCCAAAACATCATGTAGAGTATCACGAGATTATTGTTTACTCCCCATAGGGCATAGCCAGTAGCATAGTCATTCGAAGTATATAGATAAATGCTAGATCTCTACTATATTGAAAACATTGTATGCCATACAAATCTCTATACAAAACTATGTTACTGAACATCTCTGTGATTTATTTCATGTACGTGTAACACCATGGAATTTACTATGTAAATGCTATTTTACCTTAAAAAAACGTGCTAAGGTCTGTAATAATGGTGCATATATAAGGTTTGGTGCACAAATAAGACGACCCTGGTGCAAATAGATGAAATGCCCGAAGTATAGAAAACGTTTCTTAAGGAGTTTGTTAAATAGATTATAATTGGGTATAATGGCTACCCTTTTTATAAGTGCTATAATAATAGTATTTAGGTTACAAAAGGGGTAGTAATTAGCAATATTTGCGTGGATAACCGTATACTAGTACCGTATAATCTATATTTAATTATTAAGTACTAATATTATATTAATTTAGAGGTTTACTCTATTATAAATACTATTAAATATATTTATAAATATATTTATAAGGGTACGAAGAGGACTACCGTAGAAATTACAAAGCTGGACGAAGTAATATAATATTTAATAATATAGTATATGAGCCCTACGGAAGTATTTACTCGGCTTATAAAATAGTCTTTATATAAAGAATATCCTGCGGTTACGTTATTGCCTATCTATTTCGAAGGAAATCCGACTATTACTATACGTATTAATTTAGCCCCGGTCGAAATAACGAAACCGATTAAACGGACTATTCAAATTATATTTAAATCGTTTTTTGAATATAATACAGAATATCCTAACGGTTTAGACCGGAACGTTCTATACATAGACTTTCCTTTTAACTACATTTAAAAAGAAAATATATATATTTAGTAGCCTCGCTAAAGGAATATTACTATTAACCATATTTATTACATTTCTCCTATTATAAACGAACAGTATTCTTTATAATTATTATTAATAAATATACCCGGTCCTACTTCCTTCTAAGAATTACGTATTATAGACGGCGTAATATCTAATGTGACGGCGCGGCTCAGCCGCTGGTCAGCATTGTTCACATTTGGCGTAGTGGCTCCACCGGACCTATTGTAGGGTTCAGGGTAGCGTACAGGATATCCTTCGTGCGCTCGTTCTATTCTTATATTTTAGACTTTCTTCCCCATCTTTCGATCTTCAATCAATAGTAGGGTTATTATCGTATTGTCGCTTTCATTCCCTCTATACGCCGTGACAATCGAAAGATCAATCAAACTCATCGGGGACGATCTAAAATATCCTACTTTCAGAACCAGATTGATCGCGCGCGACAAGACCGTTACACGCACCCCGCGACTCGCACGTCGCACCACCCCGAACCGACCAGAACCTAGAAACAGATCCCCAAGATGGCGCGCAACTAGGAGGAAGCCGCCCAGTTGAAGGCACAAGCCGTCGAAGAGGTTACGTTTGACTTCACCAAACTGAACTAGAAAGACCCGGTCACGAAGACCCGTTTGAACCGTAAATTTATTAACTAGCGTTGCGTTTTAACGATCTACAAAACCTAGACTACTACCCTCGACCATAATGTCCCGGAGGGCGCCGACAAAGACGACGCAGCGGTAGACACCGCTACCTTCGAGTACTACGTTGAGAATGTACTCCCCTAAGTTCAAAACCTCCGGTTCCCTGATACGAAGGACGATATGTACGAAGACCTTTAAGCTAAGATCCAGGAGATGGCTATTCGGTATATTGTGGGTAGTAAGGGACTTTATTTTCCCTTCCAACCTATTTTCGATATAGGCGCCGAATGTATTCGCTTTAACGATTTAATAGGCTATAACGACTTTGCCGCCGAATTCTAGAAGTACCCCAAAGTTATATTTATGGAGATGAAGGCTCGCGTTTTGGCTATACTTGCTTATAAGAAATAACAAAAAGAAATCTTTACTATTGCGTACCGCCTCGATCGTACTATGGGCGACCTGCACGATTGGATTATGTACTTTAAGTAAGTTTATACGGAGACTCCCGAGAAATACGAAAAAGTTCGCCCCTGTACTACGATTGAGGATAGCGACGAGGATATAGTACTCGAGGGCGACGACGAGCCGACGGATAAGAGTGATAAGTCTAAGAATTAGCGCGAAATGGTCGAGGATTTGTTGGCTACTTTCGAGGCTAGAGAGAGCGAGTTGGCGAAGGTTAAGGAGGAGATTATTTCTCTTAATTAGATTGTTACTGATTTGGTATGCGACCCGATGCGACGTAGTACTACCCCCGCGGGCTCGATCTATCCGATTGTGTCGACGTTAAGCGGTAAATCCTTTAAGATTGCCGACCCCCCTGTCTATTACGTTAATAAGACGAAGGATACGGTTGCTTTCGAAGTTTGGTATCGTTTCGTAGTTAATAAGTTGAAGGTTAATAACGATTATTTTGCTGACGATGAGGCTAAATAAATTTATATTGAGAATCGCCTGGCGGGCTATGTAGCTAAGGATTTATAGCCTTACTTCCGCGACTCTTACCCGAATTAGATTACTATATTGAAGGTTTTGATGAATTACTTGAAGCGTTAGTATGATAACCCCAATTCTGTTCGTTAAGCGATCGAGGACTTCGAGAAACTTCGTATATATTAGGATGACTTTTATACTTTTAAGAACAAGTTTGTCCGATTGGTTGGCGAGTGCTAGTTGGCCTAGTTATAGTGGAAAGAAGCCTTTTACCGTCGATTGTCTACGGATTTCTAGGTTGGTATGGTCCTCTATGCAACCTTGGATGCTATTGATTTCGATGGTTACGTTAAGATAGCCGAGTAACGCATTTACTTGGAAATAAATTGTTTTGCGTAAGATTATTGCTACTGCATTTTCCAAGGGTAAGGGTATTAGCAATTGGGGAGGAAAAGGCTCCTCTTCGATTGGAGGCAATTCCAATTCATTTGGGTTGACCCCGGCCGCCGGTAAGATTCTTTCTAAGGCGGAGATTGACGAGATGTACCGCAAGGGTATGTGCTTTGTTTGTAAGGAATAAGGATATTGGGCTAAGGATTGTCCTAGTAAGGGTAGTTAGGCGAAGGCGACTCTTAGTAAAAAGCCTAACTATCGCGTTCGTTTGCAAATAGTATATACTCGCTATAGTATCTAGGACGACGACTCGGACAAGGCTGAGAAGCCCGAAACTAAGGAGAAATCGGGAAACTAAATACCCTAAGTAAACCGGACTCCCACTTAAGGGAATAGTGTTGGAAGTCCGTGCCCTGGGCCGCCCATTCACCGGCACTCCCTTCCAGGTATTTAGGCTGCCCTAGTTTCCGTTTCTCCTCTTCCATTAGACAACAACAATCAAGCCCTTTTTCGTTGTCGCCTTTTCCAGCCCACCGATAGAACCTCTATAAATAATTTGTTAAATTCTTTAAAAACGGACTAATATTTATTAATCTATATGAACACTTTTCCCTTTCGTATTGAATTCGTAAGGGGACGCGCCACCCGGCCGTAATCTTTAATAAATTTTCAATAGAAATTACAAAACCCTAAGAAAAACTAAACTCCTCTCAAATTGGAAAGGACGGCCTACTCCTTAATAACCTCCACCCTCTCGAGGTCGATAGAAATACCGTCTCGTCCTACAATAAAACCTAAAAATTTTATTTTAATAATATCGAATTCGTATTTTTAAAGTCTACCTATAAATCGGCTTCCTTCAACCTTCGAAGGACCTTTTAAATATAATTCCTATAATCCTCCAAAGTATCCGAATAGATTAAAATATCGTCGATATAAGCAATATAAAAATCGCCCAAATATTTACCTAAAACCGAATTAATAAAACTCTAGAAATTAATAGGCCCGTTAATAAATTTAGATAGCAATCAATACTTTATACTTAAAAACTCCTATTCCAATATAGAAAATTGTTAACTCTTCGTCTTCTAATTTTATTCGAATACAATAAAATATTTATCAAATATCAATCTTCGTAAACTATTAAACTTTAATTACTTTAACGAAAGTTTTTTTTAATTAATAGTAACGGATGACAGTCTTTACGAATAATAATATTGAATTTCTAATAGTCTATATAAAAATAAAGACTACTATCCGCCTTCTTTATAAATAGAACGGGCGCGGCCCAAAAAGATGAATTCGCTTCTATAAATCCTTTTAATAAATTTTCTGAAATATATTTTCGTATAGCTTCCAACTCGTCGAAAGATATTTTATATAGGGGACTATAATTAAATTCCTCTAATCGATAACCTTTCTTGAATTTAATCTTATAATCGTACAATTAGTACTCAAATAACGTATTCGAATTACATTTATTAAAAATTTGAATTTCGTTGCAATATTCGGAGGCAACCGTCTAATAGTTTCTTCGCAAAGCTCCTTCTCGTCGCGGGGCAAAAATTCCCCAACGGGGTCTTCGATAACTCTCTTTTATTAAATAAACCGATCGATTTCGAAAATACTTATTGAATAAATAATTTAATTCTCCTTCTTAACGGATTATAAGAAAAGATCTCCGTCTAGTATATATATTTAAATAGGGTAATATTTATACTAACCTATACTGTCGCATTTTAATTAATAAGTACCCTAAGCATCCAATCCCCATTTCCCGTCGATAAACTATTTTTAGTAGTAAAGTCGTGATTCGGATTTTAAAAACAATACTATAAAGTAAATAAAATTAACTAAATTATATTCTATTTTATTTAAGGGGTCAGTCTTTTTAAAAATCGTAATAGGGTTCTAGAAAAATTAGCGCGGGCGAGCGTAGCCCAACTCTCCCGTATCGTCGCAGGTATATTAGAAATTAGTAAATATAATAGGGACTATCTTAAATTTAAAGACCGCAGCGGCTTCCAACTCTAAAATTCATTTTTAATATCCTTCTAATACTAACGGGCTTTATAATAATATTAATTTCATACTTCCAAATCGAACTCCCTCTTACAATAATCGGAGAATAATTAATTCGCAGGGATAGGTTCGGTAAAAGTATAGCCGCTCGTAAAGCAGGGGGTGGACTAACTATTATTTTTACCGTCCGCTCGTCGTTTATCTTCTCGAATTATCAATACGTCGTAATACTCCGCGTCTTGCTAATACGTAGGGTTGATTAAAGCGGTAGAATCCTAAACCTCGAAATACTTTAACTAATCAAAGTCCGGTTTCCATTCTAAGGGAAAAAATAAGCGGCAATTAGCACAATCTACACAAATGTCGTAAATATCAAGCCATTTCCGGGCGATAATAATATCGTAAGCCATATTAACCACAACAAAGCAATCGGGTAGCGTAATTCGGTTCTAAATTTTCAAAACGGCTTTAATAACCTATTTAATACTTTAATTAACCTTTCCTTAGTAGTCACTGATCCCTCGAACTAGGAAATTACTCATAAACTCTACTAACAATCGTTTTTTAAATCTTTCAACAAAAGCGGTACTAATAAAAAGATAACCGTTCGCTCCTATATCGATCAAAACATCAAATATAAATAAAAACATTACATTTAACCAAAATACATTAAATAAATAAAGGTTCTCCTCCCAAAAAAGGTATCAAATTCAATCCTTCTCCATATTTCTATCTATCCTTTTTTTATTACTCTATTACCGACACCTCCCCTAGGAAGGAATCTAATTTACCTAAAGTAATTAATTTCCCTACTCATTAACTAGAACTACGGCCGGGGCGGCTAAAACCTCCTATCCGTTCTCATAAACCAAATAACGGTCAACAATAGCAGCAACACAATCGCAACGCTCGCAATCGAAACGTTCCTTCTCGAAGCAATCGCATTTAATATAACCCTTCTCTTTACAAAAAAAGCATCTACCCTTATTAAATAACCGAATAATTTCTTTATAACGGTCGCCACCTTAACGAGCGGCGCCTCTGCCTCCCCCTCCTCCAACGGATTTAGGAGCGGAACTAGATCCGGATCCAGAATTAAAACTTAAACCTTTATTACCGCCGCCGGAATTATTATTCTTACCCGACTTAAAAGCAACTTTATTCTCGTCGGCAATAGTTTTTAATATTTATGTAAAACCGGAGTAGTCTATACAATACAACTCGAAGGAAATAGATAAACCGCAATACTTCGCGCCCATCTATTTCTTATACTCAATTAGAAGGCGTTAAAATAATTTACGCTTCCATTCGGTCTTAAGACGTTAATATTCGTTAACTATCCGAATAAATTTATTCTTGAAGAAATCGAAATTATTATTATCTATTATCTTTAGTTTAATAAAATTCTAGAGCGTATTCTCTTCCTAATTAGGGTCGTAGTATTAATGCTACAAATAGGTTATTAAGCCAAAGTAAATTTTAATTTAATCCGAATAAATTTCGCGCAAATACAATATTAAATTACAATAGGCGTAGCTAACTAAACGACTCGTAACATATAAAAACTTATCGTAGTCGGTTAAATAGTAATCAACGTTAATCTCAAACTTATCTTAAATCAAATTGTACCAAGCCTCGAAAAAGATATCGTCTTCTTTATCCTAATTATAATATTTAATAAGGTCGGCTTACTTAATATTACGGTAGCGGGAACTAAAACGCTCTCCGTTATTAAAGTTAATTTCGGGGGGTAAAATCGAAAAACCGATAGAAGCCCTAAAAAATACCTCGCTAACATCCTTCTTAATACTAGAAAGTACTATCTCCTTAGCCTTTCCCTTATTCTTATTCTTAATTACTCTTTTACTAATATTCAAACTAGTAATAAAATCCTTTAATCCTTCGATAGTATCCTCCTTCTTAATAAAAGAATCCTTTAATTATTATACTATAATAGGGTTAATAGCGGGCGTACTATACTAGTCGGCTAAAGTAGGAACCCAACCGTAAATAATTTTAAATTTAATATTTCAATAAGAAACGAGGCGATAAAGCTCTAATACCTACTCTTTCTACGCTATATTCATAATAATTGATAGCTTAAACTCTTAGAATATAATTTAGGGATTTCTGTAACATAATTTAGTAAACTTCTCCTCAATTAAGTAGCTAGAGAACGGAAGGTTCGAAGGGAGCAATATTTAGAAGGGAACGCTAAGGACGGAATTACAAATAAATAATTCGGCGAATTTTTCTATCTTCTATTTCAAATTATTAATAGCCTCATATCTAATTAAACGGGCGTCGAAGGTCTTCGTATTTTTAACTACTATAATAATATACCGGTCGAATAAATCGAAAAACAATTCAGGCTCCTTATCGCCCTCTCCCGTATTAGTAATTACATCGGCTAATACCTCGTCGGGCAATTTCAATTAATAATATATATAATATAAAGATTCCTTATAAAAGATCGTAAATTTACCGCAAGAACGTTCCTTATCTAAGCAAAAGCCGTTATAGCGCTCCTTATTAAAACGTACGGCCTTACGCGCATTATCCTTAATAATAAAATCAATAATTTAGCG